CATTTTACATGTTGCTTAAACAGTAATCTAGTATTTTCACGAACTGCGGGAAAATATCATTTCCTTAATGTTTCATAAATAGCGTCACTTTTGCGGTGATCAATTTTATGATTGTTGTTAATTTCCACTATCATTTCTTCTTTAGATAAGACTCTTCTATGATTGTCTCCTACCTTTGTACTTCTGTGGTACAATGAACAAGTATGGTCATCATACAGAAAGTTGGCCAAATACTTTCTAACACTTGTATCTCCCATTCGTAAGTTTAGTTCCTCCTTTACTTTTTTAAGCACCCCAGCTATTTTCATCAAATTTCTTTTTGCATATCAAATTTACCTCTTTCAATACCGACCAAAAATGTTCCGGATTAGGATCATTAGTTTCTCTTTTCTTTCTTTTTTTGTCACGTATAAACCCTTCATCTGGACACAAATCCTGGTTTAACGGCAAGTCCATTTTTTGTTTGTACAAAAGGCTTATAACGTCATAATGATAGTATCGTTGCAAACGTCCATACTTTCGCGAAAAACGCACTTTCGCGGAAAAACGCACTTTAGCGTATTGAGCCATCGGACTTTAGCGTGTTCCACTTAATAGCACAGACCATCGCACTTTAGCGTGACCATCGCGTTTTAGCGTCCCCATCGCACTTAAGAGTCCTACATATATATATTTAGACCCCTCTAACAAGAAATTTGTTTTGCATGCACACGTATAAAAATTGCGGTTTTTATCCAACGCAGTCATAGGTTTGAACGTTGTTTTCAATTTAGACTTGTTTATATTTTTTCGTTTGGGCTTGTATTATATTTGCCTTCGGGGTTATATGATCCGTTCATCTTATTTTGACTCCTCAAAATCCAAGAGTCTATCCTAAATTGAGGTAAATTGTATGGCTTTCCAAATACCGTTTCACTGAAGAGACATTAATTGTCGAAATCCGGATATGGTGTACAAAATTTTTTGCACCTTTTGTTTGCGGTTTTCCATCTTTTCCGCAAGTTTCACTGCATGAAAGTATTAATTTAAGGTATCAATAAACTACTTGAAAATCAGTCGTAATTTCCGAGTTTATTTTTTTTCTGGTAGTTTATAGTTCAAGTAAACGCAATGTTTAATAGTAGTTTACAAATAGTTTACTGGACGCAGTAAGTTCATGAATTGACACCTGATTTACTGTCCAGTAATTTTCGAATTTAACAAAGTTTAATATACATACAACATCAAATTTAATGTAGAGAAAATCTGTAAAACATGATTTACTACAAATTAAAGTCAATAATATTCCAAACAGTAAGCCGTTTACTGTGGTTTTAAATCTGATTCAACATCGAGTTACAAATTTAATACAACGATAAACTTTCATAAAAATGCAAATTGAAATCAAATTCAACATCACGTTTAAAGATTTAATGTGTGAAATAACTTGATTTACTTCAAATTTAAACTCATTTTGACTCCATTTACTATCGAAAATCTTTGTAATCTCCGTGTTTGGTGCACCAAATATATGCCAATTGACCTGCAAATTCACGACAGAAAACAGTATATATTTGCAGCTTTCATCCACATATGACCAGTAACAGTTCTTACAATCGAACCCTATTATAATGCAAGATATCTTTGTTTATACAAACATACTTCAGTATAACAAACAAAGCCATAATTGTACACCCTAAGTTGCCACAACCCATAATTCGAATTAAACACTAATGATTGCCTCAGAATACAAGATATTACAGTGAGAGGAGCAACTGGAAATTCATAAAAAAGCTGCTCGTAATGGAGATCTAGACTATGGCGAAATCCTGAATAAAAAAAAACAATTATCTAGAATCTTAGCTAAATTTATTCATTATTTTCAATTTACAAATACATGACAAAATAAAGTACTAACATTCCGTTCTATAATAATTAAAAAAAAAACACCTACATACATAACAAAATTATAAAACTCTAATTGTGTGCATTTTTGTTTGTTTTTGCTAAAGCTAGCACTGTTTTTAAGGAACAAAAACATATCAACTTCATGATGTAAAATGACTGAGTATTTAAATATAATAAGCAGTAACATATTTGCAGAATCCTTTTTGTTGTGGTTGTTTTGATTGTCTTACCTAATTATTTTAATAGAAAGAGTTATTTCCCTTTGAATACAAAGATTCGAGCTGAATAATAAAATCCAACGTAATTTGGAGGGTTTAACAAGCACCCAATTATATACAACCCCTTTCTTTCAAGATCTTAATACCTATTTTTTATAAGAATATTAATAATTATAAACGTGTAAACCTTTAAGCTAAAAAAAAAACAACAAATTTCTTCAATTTTTAAAGATACGAAAAATATTCTTATTTTAACAAGAGTTGTTTCCCTTTCATTGCTTACTGTTTTTAATCAATTGAAGAAAGAAAAAAGATTCACATATAAGATCCCAGTTACATGTCTATATGTTTTATCAGTGCAATTAATTTCAAAATATATATTTGATTATGCCCGCGTGGACATCAATATAATATAAAAAATACACAATGAAGAGCTTCACCACTAAAACAAGGATTTTAAATGTAAAACCAACAATTGTATACATGCATTGTATGATTGCTTACATCAGGGTACCAGATAAAATTTACTGCTATCTAGCTTTTTCTTGTTTATATTGTATAATTACGCACAAAAGAAATATTTAAAACATTGAAATTTAATATATACCAAGTTTCTTACTACATTTTGTATTTCGAAGAACTACCATTTTGTCTTCTTTTTTTTTACTACTATGTGCAAATAATACACTGCTTATTTTCTCGGTATCACTTCCATATTTAAAAAAAACCAAGATTTTCCATCTAAAAATGAAGATTCTATAAAAAAATATTTTTTGAACATTTATTTTCCGTGATGCTAGGTTACAAACCAAAAAAGTTATTATATTTTGTTTTGCCAATGAAATGTCCATTGTTCGTGTTATTTTTAAATAGTTTTGCCCATTACGACAATACTGTTGTTTCAAGAAGCACTTTTCTTTACTATTTTTTATCAAAAACGTTCTCCTTCGAACCGCTTGTTGTTGTTGAAGACGGTATGTTGAGATCCGACATGAAGATGTATTTTTTCTCTTTCTGTTCGCATCTATTTGATTTCGTGATGACTGAAATATGTTGATATAAAAAAAGAACGATATATCAGATTTTTTTTTTTTAGTTTGGGACAAATAATTGTGTAAAAATTATTAACAATTACATGTAGCATTTACTTTGGTCGGTAAAACTTGCATACTTAAAACGAATAAAGTTTAATCATTGACATTATTTTAAAACTATTTAAACACCCATTCATGTCCTGGCACGACTTCTGGTTTTATCCTTGAGGAAACTGCCCCAACCTCTCGTTTATGGTGCTGCCGTCTGCTTCTCTTGGTTAGTTGACCATCATGTTTTTGGCCTAGTTTTTTTTACTAATTTATCAACATCGTCGGACCTCCAAGGCAGAGGTCTGACGATAAACGATCCTTCGTCTTATGAATCTGTTTGTTCATAAGACATGTTCTGCACCACAAGGCTTTTCGAGCCCTTTTCTTTTTGTTCCTCTGGTATACTAGACTTTTACTTTTAGGGCCTTTTTCTGTTGTTTAATTTCTAAAATAAAAGAGAATTAAGCTCAAATCAAAATTCCTTGAATTTCATTTTGAATACATACATGTCAAATAGATTCCATAAATGCCGTAATAACTCTCTTACAATAAAGATATTATTATCAATATTATTATTATTATTTTTATTATTATTATTATTATAACCTCCACAAAAAGCAGTCTGTAAAAACAATACTAGTGATTACTGTGACAGAAAGCATGCTGTATATTATTTATGAATATAATATAATCCAACAGAACACTCAATTCCTAGCATTTAATTTCTCTCTCTCTTTCTTGAAAAGCCCGGCCGGCGAGAGAGGGAGAGAGAAATTCTACCGCTACATCAAGTGAAGGCCTGCCAATCTTTTTGAGTATTGAAAATTCAATTGTCGAGAGTGGAGAAATATTATATTGCACGAGATTCGGTGTTGGATTCTGTTTCTATTTTGATTTTTAGACGTTACGTAGACAAACTTTTTCACTGATCTGCAAAATGAGGTATTGAACAGATATATCATGTTATGGAGATGTATTTGCGAAAAATACCAGTCAAGGGACCGTGAAATTTCCCAAGCCGCTAGGCGAGGGAAATTTGGTCCCAAGACTGGTATTTTTCGCAAATACCCCTCCATAACATGATATATCTGTTTAATCACACCGAATAGATTTTGATTGAAACTGTCTGTACATGTGAAGGGAAATCGTAGTACCGCGGGAATTATACATGTACTTATACGCGTAAGTCCTGTCTTTTTGTAACGTCATGGTATCTATATGTGTAAACGTCATTGTTATTCCATCATTATATCGTTCATTTGTATAGACATTTTTTTCCCTCTTTACATGTATATTTCTGACAGTTTTCGGTTTAACTCAATCAATAGTGCTTAACCATGTTGTCAGGATAAAGTGAGAAAGGTTCCGAATAATTTTGGCGGGACTGGCTCGCGAGGGTAAAAAAGGAATATCCAAAATGGCAAATACCACGGCAAAGAGGGGAATTTGAGGCAAATTCGTATGAAATGAGAACAAATGTTAGAATATGCGAAAAATACACTGGCTAACAACCAATCAAAATCCGGCATTCTTATATAAGGTGTAATTAATATATATATGTTACGTCGTTAGATATGGTCACCTTTTTCCTTTTTTTATTGTAGCGTCACAAAAGGAATTTAGTGAAAAGCAAAAAAAAAAATGAAGTTAAAAGGGGGTTCCCTGTTTTGAGTGATATAAGTATATAATATTAAATAAAACTCCCGTCTAAATCCGCTTCTTATGTTGACTGTTATATCTGAATTGTTCACCATAATAAAAAAATCAGTTCTTACTCTTCTCATCTTGCTGTACACAGCCGTTTTCTTGTTATGTTCTTCTTGTTTACCAGTTTCGTCTCTTCGTTTCTTTGCTTTGAACGATTCAAAATTTGTCTTTATCCCTTCTACAAAAAAAATCTACTTAAGGCAATTTAAAAGAAATATTTTTTTAACATACAATTGCTTGTCTCCATTTGAGACTAAACAGTGTCACTTGGTTAGTCCATGGTAGAATGTTTTGATGTGATATGATCGAAATCAAAATAGATCTATTAAAGTTATATGATAGTATGCATTTGCTAGTATGTGATCCATTAACATAAAACTTATTTATAATATGGAAATTATATGGCGTTTCAAAATATTATTGAAAGTGTCTGCTTATATGCCCGTGCAAATGCGTAAATAAAGTAATATATAAGGAAAGAAATAATATGTATATTTATTTTTCAAAATCATGAGTAAGAAAGGGAGTCCAAATTTTACGTCGCAGGAGATTCAAAAAGTTTGAATGCAAAATGGAGAAGAATAAATCTAAATATTTTGCCGACTGAGCAACACAACTATTATTTTTATTGTAATGTACATTGTACATGAAATTATACATGAAAAGTAATTAGAATTCTAGTTGATAATCATAAGACCATCATAAGTCATGTCGCGAGCTAGTGTCTTAAGTTTACGACAAAAGTTATGATATATCGTAACTTGGGACACTTACGAAAACATATCTTACGACTATGACATGTCCTAAGACCATCATAAGACATGTCTTAGTCATAAGATACTTTCGAAAAACATGCCCCTGGTAATGGGATTACTCATTTCAACACTTGGTCCGAAATCATATGAAGTGAATTCAATGGTAATTTGGAACGTCATGTTTCGAAATAAAAAGAGGTCAGATACAGGTGTGTAGCAACAAGGGATCGACCATGTGATTTCAAAGAGGGGGGAGGGGGGTATGGTTATTTCCTAAAAAAATATTCTGAATCCAGATTTCCCCCATACCTTATAGTGTTAAATTTTGCAAAAAAAAATGTTCGCGCTTCATACCCCTCCCCCCCTTAAAGTTAAATGGTTACTCCCTAAAACAGCACAACAAAAATACCCTCTTGTAAAAAAAAGCCGACAGTATCAATGTAATGTTAACATAAGCTAGGATTTATTCAGTAACGTAACACTACTTTCCAAAATAAAAAAAAGTATCAACTGAATTTGACTACTTTTAACTTTTTAGATGTCATTCTTAATATGACAGTTAAACATGCCTTCTAGGCTAAGCAATTGTATTGCAGAGCTGCAATTTCGACTATTTTGTTTTTGGGGGTTAGGGGGGGGGGGGGGCTCAAACCTCTAACAACACCCTCCACTTCATCAGGATATTGGGCCTTTTACAAATTCTATGATGAATCCAGACTTCTCTTTGTTCTCTGCAGAATTATATCTAAAAAAAAGTAATTTGAAAAATAATCTTACTGTAAATCAAAACTTCCTTAAATAAGAGTGTAACAAATGTCGGTAAAATTATTAATTTGTGCTAAAATGTTGTTTGAATCTGAATAGAACTATGATTACCAAATACACATATATATCCTGCAAACTTTTCACTTAAATTGACCCAAAAGCTGTGTACAAAATTAAGATTTATACTCGAATAAGTAGAATTTCATAATTAATGATTCAAAGTAGATATATGATCAAAATTAAATCTGTGTCGTAAATCACAAGTAATCGAGCATTTTTACTAAAACCGTATCGTTTAATGATGAATGTGGACATACATAACATATTAAATTACATTGGTTTGAATAACAAACCATGAGATTTTTTCAATTTCCAAGGAAACTTTTAAATCATTTAATTTCATATACATACTTTAAAATACTGCCAGTTTCGTTCTTTATTCTCCAGATGAAATCCTTTTCAGTAATACCCTGCTGATAACCATCCCTTCTTGATTGCTGAAAGGAAAAAGATACGCTCTTAAGCATTTAAATTGCATGCATCAAGAACAACTGAGAACTGATCGAAGTTATATAATTATATGTGTAGAAAGTCGCAAACATAAAATATATATACATGTACATTCTTAACTTCACGACTTCATTACGTTCTAATTAAAACACGACAACATGTAATCAAAGTGTGTAAAATTTTGCAATATTTATACAATTAAAACACAAAATGTAAGTGTGCAATATGTATTCGAATCTTGTGCCGACCACAATTACTTCTTTGTACATAGTCCGAAAAAAAAAATTGTAATCCGTGAAAAAAGGAAATAAATGACATTTTGCTAAGTATTGAATTTTTAGGTTCGCAAACTTAGTGAATATTGTTATGATACAATACATAAAAATGAAAATTGTATAAGCTATCCCCTACTTCATGTACAATATGCAATATTTTGAAAAGGTTAAATAAAAGTTGAACAATGAATAATTACTTAGACGTTAATCTTTTGGCTTCCCTTTTTTCGTTCATTTGTTTTTGATTGTAGTATTTGAATCATAATATCCACTTTCTTTTCAACATTAATTTGTTTTTCTTGCACTTTTACCAGTTGCCTTTTCATTTAGATGACTTCTTTGTTAAAGTGTCAATCTAAAAATAACAATTATAACTAAACCATTTAAAATACATGAATTACAAAACTCAATATGAAGTTCATCATTTTTAAAAAACCAAAAGACTATTAAATTAAAATCAATCCGTCATTCAGAATATATATGTACCTAAAAAAAAACACCTAAATTTATGACATTCACCGATGTATACAAGTGGTGTATATAACAGATTTAAAGCATAACATATATTATATACAATGTATGTACATTGTCGGAAAATATAAGATGTATGTGTACGAGCTCTAGAAACAGGACGAAAAGCGAGGCTCTCCGAGTTTTTCTTCTGTTTCGCAGCGAGTACAAATACATTTAATATTTTCCGACAATGTACATATATTGTTTTTATCCTGCAATTTACACCCGACACGTGAAACTTTAGTTGTTGAAATACAAATCATTGGATTTTAAAACTGGTGCGCACGAAATTCAAAAATCGTGCGTAAGAATTCGAAACTAATGCGCATGTCATTTCAAAAACTGGTGCGAAACTTTCAAAAATGGTGTGTAGGACTTTTAAAATAATGCGAACGACTTTCATAAATGGTACACACGACTTTTCATGCGCACTAGTTTCAAAGTGGTGCGCACGATTTTTCAAACTGATGTGCACCAGATTAAATCTCGGGCGAACGAAAATTGTATATGTATATGGCACTTAAGGCGCTCCGAACAACAGGACATGATTGTAGCAACATATAAAATTTACCTGGCGATTAATATATAATCAACAATTTTGCGCCTGTCCCAAGTCAGGAGCCTCTGGCCTTTGTTAGTCTTCTATGTTTTTTTTTTTTTTTAGTTCATTTATATGTTTTGGAGTTTAGTGTGACGTCCATTTTCACTGAACTAGTACACAATTTTATTTAGGGTCAAGCTAGCTAGCTGAGGACCACCTCCGGGTGCGGGATTTTTTCGCTGCGTTGAAGACCCATTGGTGGTCTTCGGCTGTTGTCTGCTCTTTGGTCGGGTTGTTATCTCTTTGACATATTCCCCATTTCCATTCTCAATTTTAAATTAAATAATTCAGTTGTAAACTGAGAAATAAAAGTTGAAAACTCAGCTTAAAAATACTGTTTTGGTGAAAATATCATATAAGATATGCTGATTAAATAGGACATAACAATTTTTAATCATTATAGTACTTATTATTCAAAACGCAATACAAATTTGTAAAGGTTAAAGTGCTTTTCATATAGTACATTTCGTATATAAAGTATGATATTTGTGTACTCATTTTTAGATTTTTGTCACGATAACATATTTCCCATCGGCAAATCGTCGATTCATATATATATATATATATATATATAAAAAAAAATGTTATGAAAAGTCTATCAGGTGAAATTTTAGATAAAATGTGAAACTGTTGTTTCTTCTTTCGGAGCAGAGCTTTTAAATGGTCCCATTGGAACAGATGGAAATGTTAAGATTTAACAGGAGATTAATTTACTATAAACCAATGTGATCAGTGACATAAATATAATGCAAAATAACGGATACCATCACAATTTTAATGAAATATATGGTAAAAATGAAGAACATTTTCAATTGTGGCCATAGTTTCAATTTTACAATAAGCATAGATAAAGAACACGCGTAAACGAAAATCCGATTAGCGGCTTTTGCCTCCTTTTTGATTTGAAATTGACAAATAAAAATTATTAGTTCTAGTTACTCATCGAAAGATCAATTGACTGATTGATAAATATTGTACAACTATTGATTTTTGCAACAGTTTATTAAGACAATATGGTAAAAGCGCGAATGATTGGTCTCCATTTTCTTTTAAATGTTTTGCTAATTTTGAAAATAATGAACATGTGTGCACAACAATAATCAGAGACGATGATAAAACATGTGTTCATGAAGAGAAAAAAGAAGCGTGGTAACATAAAGAAAAGTGGTTTTACTGAAAATAGAAAATTACTGTTAAAAAAATCGGCATGAAGTGTTATTGCTTTTTATTCATTCAGTTATATGATATGACTTCTTTTTTTTAAAACATTGTTTCAAAAATCATTAATCAATTTATTTATTTTTTATTTAACTAAGAATTGAAAGTTCATAATTATTAAGACGGAAAAAAGAACAGCTAACCGACAAAATATAGATCACAAAAGAATAAGGATAACTAACACCTGTACATATGTTATCATTTACTTTTCAAAGATAACTTAAAGAAATTGTTTTAAGATGTTTAACCTTAAATGCTTTTTTATTTATTCATTAATTGATAGAAGCAGTATTTCACCATAATAGAAGACAAAGTATATCTATATGTCAATTGTCCGACTCAGAGGCGCTTTCATTTTTTTCTTTAATATGATAGACTAAATTATTTCTAGGCGTACAGGACAAGTTGTAAAAGAGATTTCGTTTCTTTTTATCTTCGTGGAATTATTTTCTGAGCAGATTCAATTACCAGGAATGCGTCATCACATCTTATATCAATGAAGTAGATAAATATATACTTTCATTCACTATATATAATTGATTTGTCCAGATTTCAAATATCAGTATTGTTAATTTGAATTTAGTTGCAAAACGAATTAATGACCATTTTATCCTGTATTTTTGCATACCGTTGGTTTCGAAATCAGGCAGTAATTAAAACCTATGAAGATATGAAAACTTAAGAAAAAAATATACAGGAACATCGTTAACCAAAAACAAAATGAGTATTAAAGCTATCAGAGACATATAATACAATGGTTTACTTTTGGCCGTTTTATGCAAACAATTCTATTTAAGCAGACGTGCAGACACATCATCTAGCTATTAGCTGAGGTAACTGCCATATAACTAATATTAGTTACATTTGCAACAATTCTCGACTTGATATACAAATGTATACGATTACGAAAGTTTTATTTTGATTCGGTTATTTTAACTTTAATAAACATTTACTAAAGCAATTTTGTGACAGTCATTGTATTGATATATACAGCTTTAATAATAAAGGGCTTTAATGATAAATGCGGCATCATTGTTAAAGAAAACGAAGTTATAAATGGCTAGTTTTTAAAACAAAAGATACACGAAAGAATATTTGTCCCGGAAATGTGAAAAAAAATGTTTGAACCTTTAAAGGGAAAAGTTTTTTACACACAAAAACATTTTGTTTTTAAATATTTTTTTTTTCAATGTGTGTTATGATGGTCACTTGTCTAACACTGTTCTAACAAAAACCCTTGGTACTTGGGAACAGGACACTTTTGTTTTAGCCCTCCCCCTTTTTTCTGTAATTTGTTATTTTTTTGGTTTTCTTATAATTTCATTTTTTTCTCGCGTTTTTCTATTTCATATGAACATAAATATACAAGAAATAACTTTTATTTGCAATTGTATATCAGTTCTAAAGTAAACTTGGAATTGATAGATAATAGCAAATACAAGTTATTTCTAGTACATTTATGTTCATGTAATACAAAAAAAAAAAAATGAGAAAATAATTGAAATTAACAGAAAACAAAAAATAACAAATTTAAGGAAAAAAGGGGGCGGGCTAAAAAAAAAGTGTCCTGTCCCCAAGTACCTTTGACAAAAACGTATCCGTTGTAAGCAGACAGATAGACAAAATTAAATCATAACATATTACACTTAAGAAACACTTCATTGTTGGAATTTTCATCGATTTTTTAAAGTTTTACCTTGTTTGCTGATGCTGTAGTCTGTTCTTTTCTTGATATACCCTCTGTGACAGGAGTAGTTGACCTGCTAGAACGAACTTTTCCAGATAAAGGTGTTCTTAGGAAAGTCGGAATGATTGTCCTGCTGGAACATGGTGTACTTGTTGGTTGGGGTATTAGAATAACTTCGAATTGACGGTGTACTAGAACGACTGACTGTTACTCTACTGCATTCCAAAAGACTCATGGACTCATCGGGTATATCCTCTGTCCCGCCACATGCTCCTGCCATATTATCACTGGTTGTTGTTTCCCCTTTCTGACTTTTGCTGCTGTATTCATCTTCGCCAGATGAATAGTAATGTAGATGAAGGCTTTCATCTTCCATAGACACGTATATATGTATCAGAAAAAAACATCACGAAAAACTACCTATCAGACTTAAACAAGTTGCTTTCTTTAAAAAAAAAAGAAAAGCAACACGTGAACCCGAGACCACTGACTGGTCACCAAATATTTTTTGCTGAATTTATTTTTGCTTTTGATTTGAAATAAATGACTGTTGATAGAATGAGGTAATAAAAAAAAATTAAATTACCTTTATTGAAAATATGTTATTGTGTGTAGATTCGTGCACAAGTCAATTAAAATCATTGCTGGATTTTAGTTGTAAATAGAAAATTGTGTACAATTACCATTTGAAAATACCTTTTAAGGCTTGACTATTTTATTTATTAC